CTTGAACAGTATGAATCAATTATGCAATTTTCATGTTCAATTTAACACTGCATTTCAAATTCATTTCATATGTAATTGGAGTTTGAATTTAAATTTCAATTTGAGTTTGAATTTCAATATATATTTCGGCTCCACTATAAATATTAGCCCAAGCCAATATGCATGTTATCATTGATTATTCCTAATTTCCATTGTTTTTTTTCCAACGTATAAACGCGAGGGAAATCCCGACCATTTTATTTTTTGGTCAACTTTAAAGCGTCAGAAACGTTTCGGGCGTATGATCTGGGTGGTATACAAGAAATGTAACAAATAGCAACTAAAATCATAAGTTGAGTACCACCCAAATCATAAGTCTGAAATACTTCCGATGCTCATCAAAATCCAAAGCTCATATGGTGCCAAGCAAAAGGAAATCAAAATCCAAATCTCATATGATGCCAAGCAAAAGGAAATCAAAATCTACAACTTGAGTTTGAACATTGATATGATATGTTCAGTTGTTATCATGTTGGGATTTTCTCGTTTTTGATTGCTTGGATAGTTGTTCTCTTGCTTCTTCAAGTGTTCTTAAGGTTATCCTTTGAGTGAGTTTTAAGATATTAATTTAGTAATTATAGGCGTCTAATGATTTATTTTTTACGTTACGATATATATTATTATTAAATTAAAAATTCTAAATAATATTTTATAAAATATCAAAACAATCAAATAATTTTTTGTGTAAATGAAATTATTAAATTAATATTGTAGGTGGAAAACATGAAACACTGTTAAAAAAATTGAAACATAAATTACATAACTTTTAAAAAAAAGTATCGATCATTTTTATAAAAAGTATGGACACTTTCAATATAATAGGTAAACATATGATGTAATAGGTAGCGCTTATATAATGTAATAGGTATCGTTTATATAATGTAATAGGTAGTGGTTATATTGTAAAGTGTCTATCCTTTTTATAAAAGTGTCCATACTTTTTTCACTGTAGAAAACATTAATTTAAGGTTATCTTTTGAGTGAGTTTTAAGATATTAATTTAGTAATTATAGGCGTCTAATGATTTATTTTTTTCGTTACGATATATATTATTATTAAATTAAAAATTCTAAATATTATTTTATAAAATATCAAAACAATCAAATAATTTTTTGTGCAAATGAAATTATTAAATTAATATTGTAGGTGGAAAACATGAAACACTATTAAAAAAATTGAAACATAAATTACATAACTTTAAAAGAAGTATCGATCCTTTTTATAAAAAGTATGGACACTTTCAATATAATATAATGTAATAGGTAAATTTGCAATGCTCACTGTGGAAAACATTAATTTAAGGTTATCTTTTGAGTGAGTTTTAAGATATTAATTTAGTAATTATAGGCGTCTAATGATTTATTTTTTTCGTTACGATATATATTATTATTAAATTAAAAATTCTAAATATTATTTTATAAAATATCAAAACAATCAAATAATTTTTTGTGCAAATGAAATTATTAAATTAATATTGTAGGTGGAAAACATGAAACACTATTAAAAAATTGAAACATAAATTACATAACTTTAAAAGAAGTATCGATCCTTTTTATAAAAAGTATGGACACTTTCAATATAATATAATGTAATAGGTAAATTTGCAATGCTCACTGTGGAAAACATTAATTTAAGGTTATCTTTTGAGTGAGTTTTAAGATATTAATTTAGTAATTATAGGCGTCTAATGATTTATTTTTTACGTTACGATATATATTATTATTAAATTAAAAATTCTAAATAATATTTTATAAAATATCAAAACAATCAAATAATTTTTTGTGCAAATGAAATTATTAAATTAATATTGTAGGTAGAAAACATGAAACACTATTAAAAAAATTGAAACATAAATTACATAACTTTAAAAGAAATATCGATCCTTTTTATAAAAAGTATGGACACTTTCAATATAATATAATGTAATAGGTAAATTTGCAATGCTATCGGTATAAATATACCGGTTTACTTATAAAATAGGTAAATATAAGCGCTACCTATTACATTATATAAGCGCTACCTAGTATGTTATTGTACTTTATAATATTTCCGGTTAAATAATATAACATAACCGGTCTAATTTTTAACCGGTCACTTGTTTAATCGGTCACGCCGTATATTAACCGTTTTTTAGGCGCCGCACCGCAAACCCTCTAATGGGTAGAGCTTTTGTGACTCGAAAGTCTCCGGTATTAAAAAAATGCGGCTACTTGGATTTGAATACCTGATGCGCAGCATATCTAATTTTGGAACAGAACCAATCAGATTGAAGGAGAAACACAGTTCCAAAATCTCCTTTAAAATTATAGTTCTAACAAAATTGGATTTCTATATTTATTAAATTCGATGTTAAATTGTATAAGAAAGATTTCTCATCCACAGTGCTGACAACAACATCTTAATTAATTGATACATAAGCAAGCATGATATTAAATAGGGATAGAAATATATATATTTTGAAATAAATGCCAAAGACCTTAACTTAAAATAACCATATTATTTAAAGAAGAAAAAGAAGTTTGTGATCCCTAGCTGCTGCTCAGTCAATGTATTAGCAAGTTGCAACGACCTTGACTTACACAATTCGTCCAAAACAATTTAATACAAAGTCCCAATTCTATGCTTTTATCAAAGAATAGTCAGCTCCCGTGTTCAGCATTCCAACTTCAAATCATTTTTTTTAATAAATCCACAAATTCTATTTAAATATAGAATAACAAGTAACTAAAAAATTATTTTTTGAAATACATTTTTTCTCGGTAAATATAATTAAAAACGAGAATCATATAGGCCTAACCTTGATTGAGAGCCTCTTTGAAAATCTCTCTAAACCTAAATGGGGAAAAAGAGTGCTACTCAATCATACAACTAGTTGGTCTAGTGGGATGAGATACTAGATTTCTTAAGTAAGGTCAATGGTTCAAACTCTGACGTTTGCGAATGGAGCAAACTAGGTTGGGAGGGTCGCCCCTACCTATCCAATACCCGATATGGATTAGTTGATCAAAAAATCAGATACCAATAAATAATTAAAAAAATCAGCTTCATGAATTGACATCTTTTCATCTAGATGTAATTTCGTCCTTCTTATAACGTTATTATAAGAAGCTTGTTATATACACCTAAAATTAAAGGAAAATATACCAACAACTAGTTGGTCTAGTGGGATGAAGCACTAAATTCTTTAAGTAAGGTCAAGAGTTTAAACCCAGACGTTTACGAATAGAGCAAATTGGGTTGGGAGAGTCGCTCTTACCTCTGCAGTACTCAATAAATAAATATTATTAAAAGTATTATTAATAAATATATTTTAAGGAATTTTTATAATATTATTAGACTATTATATTAATATTAAATACATAAAAAAAAGTATTCACTATTAATAATTCAATAATATTATTTTTTAAGAAATTAATAAATAATATAACTTTTATTAATAATTTATTATATATTATTAAAATAAGAATATAATAGTATCATATATTATTATAATATAATTGAGTATATTATTGTAATAATATTATTATTATATTATATTATTAAAAATATTAATAAATATATTTTAAATATGTTAATAATTAATATTTTTATTAAAATGATACTAACATATCATATTAATATTAAATTTATAAAATAATATTATTTTGAGTATTTATGCTTTGAAGTGAAAAGTTTGGAAAATGATTTAAGGAAAATTAAACCGCAAGTCATTTTCCAGAAAATGCAAAGAAAATTATGTTGACCAGGAAAATGTTTTACATTGACCAATCTATTTTCCTCAAACCAAACACTGAAAAGTGAGGAAAACGTTTTTCGGAAAAAGTTTTACATGAAATAAACAGACTATAAATCTTGCATTATAGTCCTTCCTTTCTGTGGTTAAATCCATATTATTTAAAAACATTGAATAAGAATAGAGAAGCATTAAACTCATCTGTTTCTCTCTCTTTTTTATTTGCATTATGGCAACAACTCCCTTCCTCCATCCTCTTATGTTTTTGTTGCTATTTGCAACCTTTAGTGCTACTTTGTCTGTCAACATCACCACTGATCAATCCGCCCTTTTAGCCTTAAAATCTCATATAAGTCATGATCCACACAACCTTTTAGCAACCAACTGGTCTACTTCTACCTCTGTTTGCAATTAAAAAATTATTTTTTGAAATAATGTTTTTCTCTCTCTCGGCGAATATAATTAAAAGCGAGAATCATATAGGCCTAACCCTGATCAATCCCAAGAGTGTTACTCAACAATAGAAGAAGGAAAGAAACACAAGAACAAATTGAAACAATGTTATTATAAGAAGCTTGTTATATACCCCTAAAATTAAAGAAAAGTCTACCAACAACTAGTTGGTCTAGTGGGATAAGGTACTAGATTTCTTAAGTAAGGTCAAGAGTTCAAAATCTAGCGTTTGCGAATGAAACAAACTAGGTTGGGAGGGTCGCCCCTACCTATCCAGTATCCTATCTGGATCAGTCGATCAAAAGATCTGATACCAATGATTAATTAAAAAAATCAGCTTCATGAATTGACATCTTTTCATATGGATGTAATTTCTTCCTTCTTATAACGTTATTATAAGAAGCTTGTTATATACACCTAAAATTAAAGAAAAGTCTACCAACAACCAGTTGGTCTAGTGGGATGAAGCACTAAATTCCTTAAATAAGGTCAAGAGTTTAAACTTTGACGTTTGTGAATGGAGTAAATTGAATTAGTTGATCAATAGATTGGATACCAGTGATTAATTCAAAAAAATTTAAAGAAAGGTGTTTTCATCTAGATGTATATTTCTATCAGATAGGTGCCAATCAAACTCTAAATCAACAAAGTTAACATTTTCCAATCGAGTTTAGGCCACAATTTTTAGTCCTACTCTTTGACTTGAGACTAAGTCTTGCATTTTAGTCCTTCCTTTCGGTGACTAAATCCATATTATTTAAAGACGTTGAACTAAGAATAGAGAAGCATTAAACTTAGCTGCTTCTCTCTTTTTTATTTGCATTATGGCAACAACTCCCTTCCTCCCTCCTCTTATGTTTTTGCTGCTATTTGCAACCTTTAGTGCTACTTTGTCTGCCAACATCACCACTGATCAATCCTCCCTTTTAGCCTTAAAATCTCATATATGTCATGATCCACAAAACCCTTTAGCAACCAACTGGTCCACTTCTACCTCTGTTTGCAATTGGATAGGTGTCACTTGTGGATCCAGACACCACAAAGTCATTGCTCTGAATTTATCAAGTATGGATCTCACAGGCACCATCCCACCTCAATTGGGAAATATATCTTTCCTTGCCTCCCTCAACATTAGTCATAATAGTTTCCATGGCTCTTTACCGACTAAGTTAAGTTATTTGCATAGGCTGAAATATTTGAACTTTGGTAACAATAGTTTCAGTGGAGAAATCCCATCATGGTTTGGTAACTTTGCTCAACTTCAAGGCTTGTTAATTTATGACAACAACTTCACTGGTGTTATCTCATCCATTATTGGTAATTTGTCAAAACTGGAAAAGTTGAGCTTGTTTAACAACAATCTCAAAGGGCAAATCCCTATGACTATGGGAAACCTTTCAAATTTGAAATGGTTGTACCTGTATAATAATTATCTTTCAGGTTCATACTTTTCTCAATCTTGAATTTATTTTCACTAGTAAAAAGTTTATTTTATAACTAACATTGCATTGCTACGTCTATATGGTGTGTGCACATTGTCAATAACTAACAACTTCTCTTGCTAACAAAGAAATTATTGCTCAATTAGAAAACTATTAAAATTCTTTGACAAATTTAATTATATGTTTCAGGTGAAATTTTATCTGTTATTGAAAACCTTATTTCTCTTGAAGAGATTGACCTTTCTTTTAACAACTTCTCAGGTAAATATGTGATTAAATTGAATAATTAAAACTATTTGGAGTTTTCATAAGTAGTAAAAAATTAAATAATTTTTGTTTTATATTTGAAAAAATAGAGAAGAAATGAAAAAACATGCCTATAATGCGCAACAAAGACATTAAGAGTCTGTTAGAAGAATATTTTTTTTGACAGGTTTAATTATATGTTTCAGGTGAAATTTCATCCGTTATTGGAAATCTTACTTCTCTTGATAATATTAACCTTGTTTATAACAACTTCAAAGGTATAATATCATATTTCTTCTTTTTCTTTTTACAGTTCTTTCTTTTACTCAGCAGAAAAAAAAGGTTAATCATTCATAAAAAAATGTCATAACAGCAAAATTTGAAAAACAAACTATTTAATTTGAAAAGCAAACCTTCCAATGAAGAACTCAATAAAGAAATGGTTTTCCATTACAAATATTTTTTCGCCATCGACAGCCTCTATGAGAGGGAAGTATAATGATAGAAATCGGAAATTTGACCATGTTCTAATCTTTGCTTCTTGGTTTGTAGTAAATCTTTAATTTTTAAAATATTTATATATATGTAAATTATACAAATGATCCTCCGATTATATAGTGTTATTTTGTTGAGTCCTTTGACCGTTAAAAGTAATAAAATAGTATGTCAATTATAGGATATTATTTTGTTGAGTCCCTTGACTATTAAAAGTCACAAAATGATTACCTGACTATTCATATGTTCAAAACCCGTCCTTTTTCGTTAAAAGATTGTCGGCAATATGAACTGGATGTTCACTTGTTGACTGAGATATGCTATTCATTTGAGATTGTGGGATCAGATTTTATCATATCATAGTCAACAGATTAACGTCCAACTCAAACTGATGTCAATTTTTTAATAGAAAAGGAAGAGTTTAGAACATACGAATAGTCGGGTGACCACTTTGTAACTTTTAATAGTTGGGGGACTCAACAAAGCAATGCCCTATAGTCAAGGGATGATTTCGTAACTTTTAATAATCGAGGGACTCAATAAAGCAATATCCAATAATCGGAAAGATTTTTTGTGTACTTTACCCTTATTTAAATTGAGCCAATTTAAATAAGAGAGAAAAAAAGAACGGCATGATTAATGGTTCGATTAACTCGCATGTTGAAATAAGTCTATCTATTAGTCATCTAAACGATATTTTTCAAAAGATTGGGTCCAAATGATATGAAATAATACGTTAAGGTTGAATTCAACTTTGATTAAACATTTATTGTGTTATTAAGGTTGAATTCAACTTGCACTAGACCCCTTAAGCAATGTCAGGGGTTCGAATATTGGCGTTTATGAATAGAGCAAGTTGGGCTGGGAGGATCACCCTCGTCTATGCAGTATTTGATTTAGATTAGTCGATTAATAGATCGAATACCAGTGATTATACCAAAAACAAGGAGTCTTTTTCATTATGCCAAAAAATTGAGTTTTGGTTATTTATTGTGCAGGTTATATTCCTTCCTCAATCTTCAAAATTTCTTCCTTGCAAGTTATTTCATTGGGGTTCAACAATCACTTTAGTTATCTCTCATCCAATATGTTTGATTATCTTCCTCGATTAAGTTATCTTGATCTGGAAAGTTGTCAACTTTATGGAGAAATTCCAATTAGTTTATTCAAATGCAAAGAGTTGAAGTTTTTGTTTTTGGACTACAATTATTTGAGGGGACTGTGCCATTAGAAATCTCAAATTTAACTTCACTCAAATATCTCTCCATGGAACAAAATAATTTCTCAGGTAAGCTAAATGACTCATCATGCTATAATAATATGTTTAAATATAAAAGAGTTACTTATCAGTAAACTCGTCTATGCTTAAACTTTTTGTAATTTATTTCACCATTGATTAAATTATTTATTTATTTTTTTGAAAGGAGATTTTGTATGATTCATATAATTGATACATACAAAACAAAACATCGATAGGGGTCTCGTTAAAAAATCTCCTTAAATCTAGATGAAGAAAAAAGAGTGCACCAAATCGATGTATGATATAATTAATTCATATAATTGATCAAATTATTTGCCATTGGTATGATAATTACACCATCAAACAATTTCACATAGTTACACTCATCAAATTATTTATTATTAAACTCAGGTGAAATTCCATCAGTTATTGAAAACGTGACTTCCCTAGAAGAGCTTGATCTTTATGACGATAACTTAATAGGTATAAATATCATTTTCCTTATCTTTTTGTTATTACTTTATTATACGTTAGTATTAATTAATTTTGTATTTTTTTTCTTTCATTTGGTGTGTCTTTTTACATCCAAACATAAATAATTTAAATATCAAAATCAATGGTAAATTACAAATTTGGTAACTAAACTTTACTCTTTCTTCTATTTCACTAATTGTACTTTAAATCTTTTCAATTTCCTCACTGAACTTAATATATTAGGTTTTTTTTGTCACTCATTTGTTTTCTCACCAACGACGTTATAAATGGGTTGTTATATAGATGCAAGATGACGTCGTTTTTGAGATTTTTTTTAAAACGACGTCGTTTTAATGTCAAAGTGGCCAAAAAAAACTCAATGTGTTAACCTCAGTAAAGAAATTGAAAACTTTTAAAGTTCAGTGAGCAAAATAGGAGAGAGAGTAAAGTTCAGAGATGAAATTTGTAATTTACTCTAAAATCGAATAAATCCCCCCCCCCCCCCCCCCCCCAAATTCTAAGGATTAAATATTATCTGAGTTATTGTACATCAAAAGAAACTATCAAAATCTTTTCAACATCAACTTTTTTTTTTCTATTTCCTTGGAAACTATTTTGTCCAAAATTTACTAATTTGTTGAATATCACGTGGTATCCAAGTGAATTTTTCAAAAATATGTTTGTCGATTCCTTAACAAAAATGGTGATTCAGACTCCCTAAAATGCATTAATTAAGATAAAAATATAACTTGTTTCAAGAGTTAAAGATAGTAATTAAGTAGTAATCGAGATAAAGAGTCGTTCTCATTCATCTGAAAAAAGGCATGATGTTTGAAGTAAATTAACCATATCATGTCCATTGGCTATACGCATTATGCATGTTTTGCATCAGAAACATTATTTATTTGTTTCAAAGATGATTCAAACTCCTAATTCTAACTCTATTCTAAATTTTCTGCAAGGCCAAATTCCTTCCTCATTATGCAATCTGAGTTCCTTTAAGTTTCTCTTTTTATCCAATAATATTTTAGATGGAGAAATTCCAGACTGCATTGGAAACATGAGTTATTCTCTTTCACACATTGGCCTATGGAAGAACAATTTACATGGTAAAATACCAGAAAATTTTGTTAAAGGTTGCGCTCTACAAAGTTTTCGAATCAACAACAATCAAGTTGAAGGGTCACTACCACGATCTTTGAGTAATTATAAAGATTTGAAGCTTCTCAATGTTGGAAACAACTATTTAAATGACACTTTTCCGAATTGGTTAGTAAATTTGGGTCAGCTACAAGTGCTTATCTTGAGATCGAACAGATTCTATGGTGAAGTGGATAGCTATGATGCTACTTTCACTCCTTTGCATATCATCGATGTTTCTGGCAATAACTTGAGTGGCTATCTACCTACCAAACTTTTGGAAAATCTGCATGCCATTAGAGAAGGGTATGAAAAGAAAGTTGAACGAAAGTACATGGCAGATGCATTGACTCTTGCAACGGTGCAATATTCATTCGACTTATCTTTTACAGCAAAAGGGTTGAAAATTGACTTTCAGTCACTATTAACCAGCTGGATGGTAATTGACTTTTAGAATAATCAGTTCCACGGAGAGATTCCTAAAACACTTGGTGAGCTTCACTCACTTATTGTCCTAAACTTCTCTCACAATAGTTTAACAGGTCTTATCCCGCCATCCTTAGGTGATTTGTCTGAGCTTGAGTCATTAGATCTCTCATCAAACAAGCTCCATGGAAGAATTCCAACAGAGTTAAAAGATCTTGGATTCTTAGGGGTGTTAAACCTTTCTCAGAATAATCTCGAGGGACCTATTCCTAAAGGCAAACAATTTGATACTTTCACTAATGATTCCTATATAGGAAACATGGGTTTGTGCGGGTCGCCGTTATCCAGAAGCTGTGATAATGATGAGGCTCCAGCAAAATTTGATCCGGATGGCAACCATGATGATGAATTGAATTGGAAATTTTCTATATTGATGGGTTATGGATGTGGGTTGGTGTTGGGAATCAGCGTGGGATATATCGTATTCACAACCGGAAAACCATGGTGGTTCATTAGGATCTTCAAGAGAGTTCGACAAAGATTAGAAAAAAGGTAGAGAAGCCAACTCTTAGGTGGTTTTTTGTTGCAAAACAAGCTGTGAACATGGCAGAAAACTTGATTGCTTCGTGGTAGACGAACCTTTTTCCTTAACTGTTTTATATCTGTTATGCCTTGTAGTTCCTTTTTGTGTATCTAGCTTGTAAAGACTGTCTTAATCGGCATCTTTGGGTTTCCTTATCCTTTTTAATAAAGCTGATATGACTTGGGAAAATAAACAAATGACTATATATTGTTGGAAGCGGAAACGGACATATAATAATCTTATAATTTCACACGATATTATTATAAGAATAAACTATTAGATCATGCATTCATCAATATTTACTGTGCCTAATTTACATATAAAACCTCATTTCTATTTTGTAGCTTTCTCTTCCTCGATTTTTTTCTACACAACCATATGTTTCAAACTCCAACAATTGAAACATTTTATAGACATTTTTAATCACCTAATTTTAAAATTTTCTTTTAAGTCTATAGAATATATCTATTTTTAATGGATTTGTAAAAATATTTTTTAGCTTATCTTTTATTATGTAATCGACAAATTCTATATTTTTGTTCTTCATATGCTCTCTGTTAGACTGTTATTAAAGATACACGTGTCAGTATCCTAATGGTTCTAGTATCGAGTAGTTAAGTGGTTAGCTAGTCTGTTAGCTAGGCAGTTATGATTGGCGGGTTGTGCAACTTGTATATAAACAAACTTAAGTCAATGAAGAACTCACATTTCTTGTGTATCACAGTTACAAAGTATTTCCTATTATGCTATCTTTCGTCGTAGATCTTGGGTTCCCTCTTTAGCTTCCGTTACTGTTCGTTCTTCCTTGGTTGGTTATGGAGTTGTCCAGGGGCTTCTCGCATAAGAAAGTTAACGTCGTTCCCGATGAGACGAATTTTCTGCTATGGAAACAGCAAATTCTACTGACTGTGCATAACCATCATCTGGAACGGTTGTTGACCGGTGCCTTGAAGCCACCGCCAGAGACGGTTCTTGGTGATAATGGTAAGGTGAGTGTTAATGATGCTTTTGAGGATTTTGTGGCGCAAGACAGTGTGCTTGCATCGTGTATTCTTTCCACCATCAGTTGTCATCTTCTTCCTCAGTTTGTTGGTGCTGAATCGACTCCTGCGATATGGAACACGGTGTAACAGCTCTTTGCCAACAGATTCTACAACAAATTTTATGAGTCTGCATTGTAAGCTGCAATCGTTTAAGAAAGGTAATGACAATATATGTGTTTACCTTACCATAGTGAAGGAAGTTTGTGAAGCACTTGCCTCGTGTGGCAGTGCAGGTTCACACATCGGTCATGTTGCTAGCATCTTAAAAGGATTGCCCAGGGAGTACCAATCGTTTATGGCAGTCATCACCACGATAAAGGACACACTCTCCTTGGATAGTATTTATACAGTTCTTTTAGATACTGAAGCTCAGTTAGCTGACTTCGATGAACAATTAGACTCTCTTCCTATGAGTGCTAATGTTGCCCAGCGTCAGGAGGATCATGACTCCATTGAGAGTGGTCGACGTGATTCTAAGTTTTCTCGCTCGTCCTCAGTAACCAAATCCGGTAGTCGAGGTTGTGGAAGAGCTCAGATCCAATGTCAACTATGTGGTAAACTTGGCCACCTAGTTGATCGCTGTTGGCATCACTATGATGGGGATTTTATGTGTGCCACCTCTGATACACGATCTCACAAAGATCAGTCTGCTAACACTCATTATTCAGTTTCTGAAACTCTTAATCTGGGTTGTGAGTGTTGTAAAGGAAGTTATCAAGGAGCGGGTCAATCACAGGCTAATGTGGTCTCCAAAGTTACTGATCACTGGTAGTCGACTCAGAAGCAATGCACCACATTACTCCTGATGCAGCCAATGTCTCGAATCCAGTTAAGTTTAGAGGTTCAGGTAAACTCACTGTGGGAAATGAAGTTTCTATTGATATTCATAATATTGGTAGTACGGTTGTTGCTTCTTCTTCAAGAACCTTGTTGTTAAATGAGTAATTACATGTGCCTTGGATAACCAAGAATTTACTTTCAGGTCTCTAAGCTTGCTAGGGATAATGTTGTCTATCTTGAGTTCCATGCTGAGAAGTGCTATGTTCGTGATGAGTCTTCTAAAGAAATTCTTATGCAAGGTGAAGAGAAGGGAGTATTGTATACCTTTACACTTGGTTGTAAGCATATAGAAGGTCGTGGTGCTGCAGCTCATCTCGTGTCTACTGGCTTGTCTTAGTCTGAGTTATAGAATTACCGCTTAGGGTACCCAACTAGTTATGCTATGGATAAAGTAGCTAAAGAAATTAATGTAAAACTTGATTCAGATGTTAATAAAACTTGTATGGCTTGTTTTATGGGCAAAAGTCATAAATTGCCATTTTCTTCATCGAATACTCAGTACACTACTCCTTTTGAGCTTGTTTTCTCTGATTTGTGGGGACCTCCTCACGTTGCATCCAATGATTTTCGTTACTACATTTCCTTTGTTGATGCATGTACACATTATATATGGAATTATCTTCTCAAAAATAAAGCACAAGCTCGTGTAGCATTTCAGATGTTTCAAAAACTCGTAGATAATCAATTTGGAATGAAAATCAAGGCAATTCATACAAATTGGGGTGGTGAATATCGTGCCCTCTCTTCGTTGCTTACCAAGTCTGGAATAGTGCATCGATTGTCCTGTCCACACACATCGAAGCAAAATGGCATTGTTGAGCGCAAACATCACCATATAGTTGAGCTCGGTCTTGTTCTACTTGCTTAGGCATCCTTTCCCATCCGATATTGGTCCTATGCAGTGGTGACTATTGTTCATCTTGTCAATCTTTTACCTACAATAGTGCTTGAAGGGATGACGTCGTTCGAGAAACTGTTTCATAAGAAGCCTGAGTACGCTTCATTGAAGGTCTTTGGGTGTCATTGTTTTCTACATTTGAGACCCTTTCAGAATCATAAATTATCATTTCGATCACAGTCTTGCACTTACCTTGGTTTCAGCTCTTAGCATAAGGGATACAGTGTCTCGTGAGTGATGGTAGAGTTTATATATATTGCCATGTTGTATTTAATGACATGGTGTTTCCTTTTGCAGATAAAGCAGTGGTTAGCTCACGACATCATTCACCAGGGGTACAGTCTCAGGACATTCCTATCATTGTTGATGTGAGAAAATGGCCAAGTGGTATTGCTTCAGCTGGTGTAGATGGTAGAATGCATGGTGAAGTGGATGATGATGCTATGTGTTAGTCATAGCTACAGGTTCCTGACCAGCAGGGTAATGCTCCTCTTGTTGTTGTTGAGGTCACACCCGTTGTAACAATGAATTCTACTGTGAGCCTAGTTATATCCCATAGTATGGATAGTATATACAGGCATGCTAGAGCAGGTGGAGGAGCAGACACAACTGCATGCAGTAGTTTGCCGAGCAACTCGATACAGAATTGTTATCCTATGCTGACACGCAACAAATGTAGGGTATTTAAACCTAAGTTATACTCTAGTTACTTTGAAAATGAAATACCCTCCACAATATAGGAAGCATTATAGTCTGCCAGTCGAAGGGAGGCTGTTCAAGCTGAGTATGATGCGCTTCAGAAGAATAACACGTGGGCATTAGTTAAATTACCAGCAGGACGTGTTCCAGTAGGCTGAAAATGGTTGTTTAAGATTAAACACAATTCCGATGGCTCCGTTCAACGTTATAAGGCACGTTTGGTCATAAAAGGCTTCTTATAGGTGCCGGGATATGATTTTACTAATACTTTTAACCTGGTTGTGAAGTATTCTACTTTTAATATTATTTTGGCCTTAGTTATGGAAAATGGTTGGGAGTTGAGGCATGTGGATATTAATAATGCATTCCTTAATGGGGACCTCGATGAAGATGTATTCATGCAGCAACCACCAGGGTTCGATCAAATTACCGAGGATGGAACTCTTCTTGTTTGCAAGCTTCAAAAGGCTCTCTATGGTCTTCGACAAGCTCCACGGAACTGACATACCAAGCTTTGAGATAATCAAGTGCAAATAGGGTTTACAGCATCGCGAGCAGATCCCTCGTTATTTCTCAGTAAAAGGGATGATGGAAATATATATGTGCTGGTATATGTTGATGATATTTTCATCACTGGATAATCATCGAGTGCAATTCAAGAGGTGGTGCAACTACTAGGCGACAGGTTTTCACTAAAGGACCTTGGTATGCTCAGTTTTTTCTTGTTTCAGTCAGTAGATGCAGGGTTGACAATTTCAGCTTTTGCGGATACTGATTGGGGAGCTAACATTGATGATAGGCAATCAATCTTTGGCTATGGAGTGTTCGTTGGTTGATGTCTTGTTGCATGGAGCTCTAAGAAGAAGAAATCAATGTCTAGGTCAACGATGGAAGCGAAGTACAAGTGTATTGTTGATACTGCTACTGAAGTGACAGGGTGAGTGTGTTACTTGCTGATCTAGGGTTGCAGTAGTATCAAAAACCGGTGGTGTGGTGCGATAATACATGTGCAGTGGCAATGAGTGCCAATTTCGTTTACCATGCACAATCAAAACACATAGATTTGGATGTTCATTTTGTTCAGGAAAAGGTTGCTGCCAGAAAGCTGCAGGTCAACTATGTTCCAGCTGCACATCAGGTTGCAGATGGTTTCACCAAACCTTTGTCTAGAGTTGCTTATGAAGACTTTCGCAACAGGATATGTGTAGTTCATGGGTTCAAATTCAAACAAGAAAATTGGAACATGTAGGGGGAATGTTAGATTGTTATTAAAGATACTCAT